TTTATGGAATTAGTACCGATTAAACGTGACGTAGCCCGACAAAAATCCGCTGTCTGGTAATATGAAAGGCAACTGAAAATCGTTTATGTATAAACATTCTTAATTTAAGATGACAAGCGTAACAGCATACGTGAGAGTCAAACAGAGAAACTGTAAACAAAACGACCATCGGTTTTATTGCTTCGACTTCCGCTTATTATATAAAACATTGGGTTTTATTTTAATTCTTGACGGTGAAATTCACAATTGGTTGATTATAAACATGTCTATTTCACATTCGCGGAACCAAGTGAGCGCATAAAACAAATGCAGGTCTGTAATGTTTAAGTCGATGTAACTAAGCGTGCTACCCTTATGTTTCAACCGAGTTTTTCCTTTAACAAATTTTGTGTCTACCAAATTGGGTTGGTTGGGGTGTAATACTAATAATAAGTGTTGCCTTTAATTTAATCAATAAAATAAATTGACTTGATTAATTTTTTTGAACCACCTCTTAAGAAAATCTAAAAAATATGAATGGAATGATAAATCACAAGTACAAACTCATCATATTTTTTGCATTTTAGATAGGATTTATTCAGCAAAATTTAAGGGTGACGTCATCAATTTTTTTAGGAGGGATGAACAAATACATTTTGAACAAAAGTTTACCATGCTTATAATAACTTTAAAATATTCCCAAGATTTCAAAGCATTCGGTTTTGTAATTCCTGATTAAATCGATAAAATAAATTCACACCTTCATTAATTTTTTTGAGTCACCCTGCATATGCAAATCCAAAAATATGAATGGAATGATAAATCACAAGTACAGACTCATCATATTTTGTACATTTTAGATACGATTTATTCGGCAAACTTTTGAGCTGACGTCATCAGTTTTTTGTAGAAGATAACCAAATATATTTTGACTAAAAATTTATTATGCTCTTTATAACCTTAAAACATCTGCAAGATTTCAAAGCATTCGGTTTTGTAGTTCCTGATTAAATCAATAAAATAAATTTACGCATTCATTAATTTTTTCGAGTCACCCTGTATATGCAAATCGAAAAAATTTGAATGGGATGATAAATCACAAGAAGAGACTCACCATATTTTATACATTTTAGATAGGATTTATTCAGCAAAATTTTGTGGTGACGTCATACATTTTTTAGGGGGGACGACCAAATACATTTTGATCAAAAATTTACCATGCTTATGATAATTTTAAAATATCTTCAAGATTTCGAAGCATTCGGTTTTGTAGTTCCTGAGTAAATCAGTAAAATAAATTTACGCTTTCATTTATTTTCTTGAATCACCCTGTATATGCAAATCCAAAAAATATGAATGGAGTGATAGATCACAAGTACAGACTGATCATATTTTGTACATTTTAGATATGATTTATTCGGCAAATTTTCGAGCTGACGTCATCAAGTTTTTGGAGGGGATAAGCAAATATATTTTGACTAAACATTTATTATGCTTTTTATAACCTTAAAACATCTGCAAGATGTCAGAGCATTCCGTTTTGTAGTTCCTGATTAAATCAATAAAATATATTTACGCATTCATTAATTTTTTTGAGTCACTCTGTATATGCAAATCCAAAAAATATGAATGGAGTGATAAATGACAAGTACAGACTCATCATATTTTTACAGTTTAGATAGGATTTATTCGGCAAACTTTCGAGCTGTCGTCATCAATTTTTTGGCGGGGATAAGCAAATATATTTTGACTAAACATTTATTATGCTCTTTATAACCTTAAAACATCTGCAAGATTTCAAAACATTCGGTTTTGTAGTTTCTGAGTAAATCAGTAAAATAAATTTACGCATTCATTAATTTTTTTGAGTCACCCTGTATATGCAAATCCAAAAAATATGAATGGAGTGATATATCACAAGTACAGACTCATCATATTTTGTACATTTTAGATATGATTTATTCCACAAACTTTTGAGCTGACGTCATCAAGTTTTTGGAGGGGATAAGCAAATATTTTTTGACTAAAGATTTATGATGCTCTTTATAGTCTTAAAACATCTGCAACATTTCAAAGCATTCTGGTTAGCAGATTAGAAATTAAATTTCAAAATGTTGTTTTATGATTTTGATTTTTTTTTTCAAAAATCTGGACGTTTCAGGTGAAAAGTCGATTCAGAGTTGTAAACTACATGTGTAGGACTATGTTATTTTATACAATTGAAAACCCATTTACTATGTACAATTTTGAAGTGACGTCATCGCAGTAGTGGTGGGGATGATTAGACAAATTTTGGTTAGCGTTTTACCATCTACATGATATTCTTAATATAAGTACAAAATTTCACAACAATCGGTCGAGTACTTTCGGAGATTATCTGTCTAATAAAAATCCGGGACGGCAGACGGACAGACGGACAGACGGACAGACGGACAGACGGACAGACGGACGGACAGACGGACAGACGGACAGACAGACGGAAATGGGAGACCTATTTCTTCGTCTTCTAGGGGTCATGAAAGATCGAGAAAACGTAAAAGTAGAGAGTCGGCCGACGGACTCGATTACAATACTTCCTTTGCTTACGCTCGGGAAGTAAAAATGATATTCTGACTGGCACTTTTATCCAGTCGTGTCAACATCTGCTTAAGACAGTACTCCATGAAATCTCATTTCCAGGTTCGTGGACTTCGTTGTCGTCTGGTTTGCCAAAAACTTTGCTCTTCTCCGCAATGTTTAAACACATGGGGATTAAAAGCTCGATCTTCCCGTTTTGCGCTTTTGCGAAATTGGAATAGATGAAGTAGTTCGATATGGAGTTTATCAAAGTCGACTTTCCGACTCCTGTTTCGCCTAACAGGAGGAGGTTTATATACGTTGGGTGTGGTCTGAGGGTCTGAGATGAGTGCCCGGATAAAACTCCACATTTTGGTGTTTTCACCAGCGGTTTGTCTGGAATCATATAAATGGTTTTTCACAGGTTGATTTAAAATTACAGTCACAAAATTTATTGAGAAGCTGATTAGATAAATGAAAAGATAAATAAATTCAGGCCTCTATTTTTACAAATGAAGGAATAAAACTTAGTTTTTTTTTTAAATATAGCAACTAAATTTTTTTTGAAGGCATAAAATCGTTCTTTGTGTAAAGAACTTAGATATGTAAGAGTAAGCAAGTGTTTTATTGAAAATACAATGCGGATATTAGTTTTTAATTGAAACACGCCATTTAGCTGAAGAGTAACTGCAGTTGTGTTTATTGTCAGCTTTGCAATGAATTAAAAAAATATATGAAATTATTTGTCTTACCTGTGTCTTTAGTGACTACAAAGGAGACTGCGATAATAAATCGACCTAAGTTCTACATGTTTGAGATATGGTTATCAGTTTTAACTCCACATTGATTTTTAGTTCCCACTTTCGAAAAAGTAGTGTAAGTGGGTGACAAAATTGGAATTGCGTAGGGGTAATGAAATGTCGAAAAAACGTAAAAGTAGAGAGTCGGCCGACGGACTCTACTTCCTTTGCTTACGCCACAAGACAAGATTTAACAGGTTTTAGAAAAGTTTGCTGCACTGGCTACAGTTTTAGAAACGTATGGCCTAGATGACAATTTGGAAGCAAAAATCGTCTAAGTGAGTCTCTTTTTACTTCCCGAGCGTAAGCAGAGGAAGTATTGCAATCGAGTTCGTCGGCCGTCTCTCTACGTTGGCATTTTCTCGAACTATCATGACCATTAGAGGACGAAGAAATAGGTCCCCCGTTTCCGTCTGTCGGTCTGTCCGTCTATCTGTCCGTCTGTCTGCCGTCACGGATTTTTATTAGACAGATCATCTCCGAAATTACTGGGCCGATTGTTGTCAAATTTTGTATTTATACTAGGTATATTATGTAGATGGTAAAACGTTAACCAAAATTTGTCTAATCATTCCCATCACTAATGTGATGACGTCACTTCAAAATTGTACATACTAAATGGCTTTTAAATTGTAGCAAATAATAGTCTTACACCTGTAGTTTATGAAAAACAGTAAGTAGTTTTATTGCATTGGAATCATTAATAGAAAATAACGTAAACTCACGAACTGGGTTTTTTATCCCGCTCTACCAACCCCTTAGAACACCTCAGTCGTGACAATAGACTTACACATGTATTTTATGACACCGAATTGAGATTTTACCCGAAACGTCCAGATTTTTGGAAAAAAAAATCAAACTTAAGAAACAACATTTTGACATTTAATTTGGAATCTGCAAAATCGAATGCTATGAATTCGTGCAGATGGTTTACAGTTATGATAACCATGATAAGTTTTTATTCAAAATAAATTTATTTGTCTCCTCCAAAAAATTGATGACGTCACCTCAAAAGTTTGCCGAATAAATCCTATCTAAAATGTAGAAAATATGATGAGTTTGTACTTCTAATTTATCACTCCATTCATATTTTTTGGATTTGCATAGACAGGGTGACTCAAAAAAAATAATGAATGGGTGAATATGTTTTATTTATTTAATCAGGAACTTTAAAACCGAATCCTTTGAAATCATGGAGATGTTTTACAGTTATTATAGGCATGGTAAATTTTTGATCAAAATATATTTGCCCATCCCCCCTAAAAAAGTAGATCACGCCACTCAAAAATTTTTCCGAAAAAATGCCATTTTAAATGTGCATTGTGCAAAGTATGATGAGTCTATAATTGTGATTTTTCACTGCATAAATATTTTTTAGATTTGCTTATACGGGGTGTGCGAAAAAATTAATGACCGAGTCAATTTATTTTATTGATTAAATTAAGAATTGCAAAACTGAATATCTTTATCCACAAATGATTTTCATGCGCTTACTATTTCGGTTTTACAACTTTTGAGTGAAAGTGGATTTATTGTGTTGAGACTGGTGACGGATAACTTTTCGGCAAATACTGCACTTTTTAAAAAGTTGGGAAATGGATCTCTTCAGAATTATATTTGTCACCCTGTTCTGCCATCAATACCTCTGTTTTTGAGCTACGATTATTGTCACGCAGTGAAGAATGCGAGGAGTTTATTTTTAGACAGGGAAATGTCCTCTTCCGAAGGTGTTATTTCATCTACATATTTGAAAAAATTGTACTAGTTACAAAAAGATTTGCCTGTTAAACCTGTAAGGTACCTAACCAGGAAGCGTTTGTACCCTTCGAATTTCGAGAAAATGAATGTGCTGCGAGCCATTCAAATATTTTCACCATTAGTTACGGCATCTTTGAGGTTTTTGAAGGAAGCAGGTGATCCGAGGTTTTGCAACGTCGACGCCACTATTAGTTATCTGGAAAATATGTATAAGTTTTTCCAAATCCACAACGTGTCTATTAGAACGTATTATATTCGTTCACGAGACAGCACGGTTGCACCTTATGCAGATGTATCAGACCAAAGGTTAGAGTGGTTAAATGTAACACTTCCTAATTACATCGACGATGTGCAAAACAATTCTTGAAGAGACAGATTTTCTGGCGTATCAGAAGAAACAGCACCGCCAAAAGTACATGCCTTTGTATAACATTTTTGCTGAAACAAGTTGGATTTTACTACGTTTTAACAAGGGGATTCAGTTCAGATGCTGTTGAAGCTATGTTTTCCCATGTGCGCCTGAGAGGAGGGTCTAATGAATCTAATGATGCAACAGACGCAAGGGCGGCGGAGTACGCCCTACGTCAAATATTACGTTGTGGCATTGTAAGGCTTCCACATCGGCAAATATTTCTCAAACTATGAATTTTGTGAGTACAGCCCCATCAAAGACAAGAGAGGTAGTAGAACAACATATAGAAGATATGGTATTACATTTTCAGTTAAGAATGAAAATTCAAAATTTGAAGACAAACATGCCTGCTAACAATACAATACATTCTGCGTGAGTAGCGTTCCTAGCAGGTTACATAATTAAGAAACTGAATGATAAATTAAAGTGTGATGTGTGTGTACCACCATTAGTTTCCACAACACTCCCAGGGCCTTTGCTCCGTTTGATATTCTTGCAAGATCGTGGAGGTCTAAGGTATCCAAACGAAACTTTTGTTGGAATCATTAAGAGAATAGCTGACATTGTGCAAGAAATTTCACCTTTTTTGAAATATGAAATGCCATTATATCAAGCATTTCAGTGCTTATATCCTCATTTGAAGGAAAATTCGTTATTTTCTTACCCCTTGCACAAGGATAAATTGTCTAGTATGGTTATCAATCTAACTGTGAAGCCTGTTCTTGACAATATTTGTCTAGAAAAAACGAACATGGTTAAGAATTTACAATTACGCCAAAAGCTATTAAGTAGAAAAGTACTGAAATTATAAATAATGTAAATATACAGTCGCGATCAAGATATTTTCATGAAATTATGTTCCTTAGTAAGTCCCTTACTGTTCTTTTGGTACTTGTCGTTTTAGACTTTAGTAATTTGTAAGCATTTCAATAAAACTGTTTGGTTTTGTAATTTAGTGCCCTATAATATATTTGTGTACTATCCAAGGCGATTTTCAATAGTAGTATTAATTAAAATTACTATTTACAAACCGTTTTTAGTTCAATTACGTTGGACGTCGACGATTCACAGACATACATGACAATTAAAATCAACAAAACTAACCAAAAATGCCGTGTTTCATAACTAGGGCCAGGCGGTTGAAATTTAAATGCTCCGTATTGCCTCCCACTACGGCCGACCAGTGGCTTGTAGCCGATGTTACGTATCGCGAAGAAAAATTATGAGAAAACTAATTTGAAGTGAACGTCAGTTGATGATTTCGAAATCTATATCCACGAAATAGTAATAATAATAGTTTTAATAATTTTCAAGTGTCGGTCTCGTTGAAAATAAAACTATTTGTGTACATTATCAAAAATAATGCACAATTGGAAAGCGAGAAGAGAGTAAGGCAAGGCTGTAGCCTCCTGCACTGTGGACGGGTAGTGGGGATAAATAAATTTCGACCGGACTAATTCGTTTGAGCGAGATCGTTTGCAAACAACATTCTGAGACAGCGATGTTTCGTGATCCATGCAATCATGAGCTTTGACGGGCTGTAAATGTTGAAAATTGTAAACACTCAGTTTCGGGAAAAATCCGATTATTTTTTTCAAAGTAGACGCAGATAAGTTTCAAGATGTCATTTTCTTTGGAACTGTCGTTTTCGGAGTTGCTTAATATCTTATTTGTAATAAATACGACCGATTATCCTGAAAAGGACCAGTTTGGGTTTCTTTCCAAGTTTGCTAAAAATAATGTAAATTGAATAAATTTTCAGTGAACCATTTTTTTGGGAAAATTTTGAAAATTTTAAACTCATTTTTACTTCCCGAGCGTAAGCAAAGGAAGTATTGTAATCGAGTCCGTCGGCCGACTCTCCACTTTTACGTTTTCTCGATCTTTCATGTCCCCTAGAAGACGAAGAAATAGGTCTCCCATTTCCGTCTGTCTATCCGTCTATCCGTCTGTCCGTCTGTCCGTCTGTCCGTCCGTCTGTCCGTCTGTCTGCCGTCCCGGATTTTTATTAGACAGATAATCTCCGAAAGTACTGGACGGATTGTTGTGAAATTTTGTAGTTATATTAGGAATCTCATGTAGATGGTAAAACGCTAACCAAAATTTGTCTAATCATCCGCACCACTAATGTGATGACGTCACTTCAAAATCGTACATAGTAAATGGGTTTAAATTGTATAAAATAATATAGTCCTAAACATGTAGTTTACGACTCCGAATTGAGTTTCTACCCGAAACGTCCAGATTTTTGGAAAAAAAATCAAAATTATAAAACAACATTTTGCAATTTAATTTTGAATCTGCTAATTCGAATGTTTGAAATGTTGCAGATGTTTTAAGGCTCTAAAGAGCATCATAAATCTTTAGTCAAAATATATTTGGTTATTCCCTCCAAAAACTTGATGACGTCAGCTCAAAAGTTTGCCGAATAAATCCTATGTAAAATGTACAAAATATGATGCGTCTGTACTTGTGATATATCACTCTATTCATATTTTTTGGATTTGCATATACAGGGTGACTCAAAAAAATTAATGAATGCGAAAAATTTATTTTACTGATTTACTCAGGAACTACAAAACCGAATGCTTTGAAATCTTGAAGATGTTTTAAAATTATCATAAGCATGGTAAATTTTTGATCAAAATGTATTTGGTCCTCCCCCCCTAAAAAATTTATGACGTCACCACAAAATTTTGCTGAATAAATCCTATCTAAAATGTACAAAATATGATGAGTCTGTACTTGTGATTTATCATTCCAATAATATTTTTTGGATTTGCATATACAGGGTGACTCAAAAAAATTAATGAATGCGCGAATTTATTTTATTGGTTTAATCAGGATTTACGGAACCGAATGCGTTGAAATCTTGGAGATGTTTTAAAGTTATTATAAGCATGGTAAAATTTTTATCAAAATGTATTTGTTCATCCCTCCTAAAAAAATTGATAACGTCACCCTTAAATTTTGCTGAATAAATCCTATCTAAAATGCAAAAAATATGATGAGTTTGTACTTGTGATTTATCATTCCATTCATATTTTTTAGATTTTCTTAAGAGGTGGCTCAAAAAAATTAATGAAGTCAATTTATTTTATTGATTAAATTAAAGGCAACACTTATTATTAGTATTACATTGGACCAACCCAATTTGGTAGACACAAAATTTTTTAAAGTAAAAACTCGGTTGAAACATAATGGTAGCACGCTTGTTTACATCGACTTTAACATTACAGACGTGCATTTGTTTTGTGCGCTGTCTAGGTTCCGCGAATGTGGAATAGACTTGTTTATAATCAACCAATTGTGAATTCCACCGTCAAAAATTAAAATAAAACCCAATGTTTTATATAATAAGCGGAAGTCGAAGCAATAAAACCGATGGTCGTTTTGTTTATAGTTTCTCTGTTTGACTCTCACGTATGCTGTTACGCTTGTCATCTTAAATTAAGAATGCTTATACATAAACGATTTTCAGTTGCCTCTCACCGTCGCCGTATACGTGAGTAAATTGTTTCGTTATTTTATTGATTATAACAAATCAATATTCAAAACGACCCAATTCATTTTCCCGAAAATTTGGGAATACAATAATTTTATTCTTAGTATTACACTACATCTATCCCAACTGATATACTTTCAAAAATGTTGATGACGTCATCGCAATTTTTTTTAAATTCCACATTACAAAAATGTAATGAGAAAAAAAACACAATAGCCATGCAGTCGTCAAGTTTCCGACAGCGAGGGAAGTACTGTCTAAACTCTTTAGACCAATTTTTAAGTATTAGTTGTGGTTAGAACTTTGTATTGCAGTTTACATTCTATTAAATATGTTTCAAAAGCAACGTGTTACCTGCACTCACTGATTGACTCATCAACCCTTAGACCAAACCCTTGGACCTAGAAAACTGATGTAGTATAGGAATAAGGCCGTCACACTCCTCTTCAGTCCTGGCCTTTGCATTAAATAGAACATCAAAAGAAATAATAAAATTTTCGTGAGCAAAGTACCAGCAGTACTTTATGATTTTAACCCCACCATGCCAGACATTAACCTGTTGCTTTTGGGCGAACCCGACTTCGGCAAAACCACGTTCATCAACTCCCTCATCAACTACTTTTGGTACGACAACCTAGAAGCCGCTGGTAACAGTTGCCCCATCGTCGCCGCCCCTCAGGCAGTTTCCTTCATGGACATCCACAACCAAACCCAATTCTTGTCCCTGCACACCAACAACGACAAAACCCCGATTAAGTCCAACACGAAAACCAGAGAGTACCTACTTCATTACTTTGGGCGAGTACCGACTGAGAGTGATAGATTCTCCAGGACTCGACATTTCCGACGACGACCAAGACAAATTCAAGAACATTTTTAGAAACCTGAGGCAACTGGAAGAACTCCACGGGGTGTGTTTTCTCTTAAAATCGACTATGGATGAACAACTTGTTCGAGTACTACATCAGACAGACGTTGTCGGAGTTGGGTGAAAGCATCATCAGGAATTTCGTTTTCGTTTTTACCAATGGGAGAAGTGTCCATTTTGAGCCTTCCACTGCAAAGTCTGTGTGGAGGGGGTTCCTGGACTCGATCAAGTCGAAACCACCGTACGTGGAAATTCCTGTGAGTACCAGCAACGTGTTTTGCGTAGAAAACGAAGCTTTTGTTAACTTGATTGCGTTGCAATGTGGAGCGAACGTGCATCCTTTGGGACAAGTGAGGCGACATTCGGAAGAAAACTGGGCGTTTTCCTCGAGGGAATGCAGACGGTACTACTTGTGTGTGTAGACTCCTTGTGGTAACAATGTGTTTCAACTTGACATCGTACCTTCAGCAGTTGAAACCTTACGATTTTCCAGTTAATGGTGCTGTGGACGAACTGGAGAAGTTTGTCGTCGAGAATTGTTACAACCTTTTCACTATGTTTCTGTCCAACCATCACAATTTGGTCAAGTGTAAACAATTTAAAAGCGATTCGGGTGAAGCTTGCCAGATCGTTCAAGACTTGAAGTCAGCTATTTCCAAACGAGGCGACTTGGTGCAGAGATGTACCCAGGCAGGTAGTGGCAAGGGCACCGTACCCAAAAAACCTTCTAACAAGAGTACCACAGGAAAGAACAACGGCACACTCGAAGTAAGAATTTTAACCTCCTTGGAAGTCCTTTTTTGTTTTATTTGTGTGTTATTTTAGAAGTACCAAAATAAATGCGCGAGCGGGAAATGTTTAAACACATCCACAAAAAGGGTAAACCTGGACCGAATGGTACCTCAGGGATGGGTTACCCCCAAGCTGGATACGCCAAATGCATGGTGACTACCTCAAACCATCTTTCTTTGTACCATATCATGTTTTCCCAGGACTAAAATAGACATGGACGATAGTGGTCACAAAGTCGCACAACCTGAAAATATTTTAAACAAACAGGGACAATTCTTTGAAAACCTGTTCCAAGTTGTGCTTGCTCAGAAGGCAGAAGTTTGCAATGCTTTGAAAAAGGTGGCTAAATTTTCTCTGTTTCTGGAAAAGAACAGGGTTGAGGACGAATTCTAGAATTAAGTTGCTCCTTTGATGTCAGTAAGTTTGGTTTGGCTGAAGTTTATGTGGACTTTCAGGGCGGACCACGATGCGGAAATTGGCTCAGTTTTTGACGAAATGGTGCAGATTTATAGAAGAAGTAAAGCTGAGGTGGCTAGAAACGGGGTACAGGATTTGAGTGACGAAGACGTCCAGGAAATGGCCAAGAAGTTCGAGAAGCTGGAGCATTATCAGGATGTCATTGACAAGATCTTTAAAAACTAGATTGATTAAATTTTGAATTTGCATGTGTCTACTTTTATAAATAAAAGTTGTTTGGGGTTTTTGATTATTCATTTGTTTGTGCTTTTTAATGTCGTAGATAAGACTTTAAAATTAATATCATGGAGAGATAATATCAAATTCGAGTGTCTTACACTCCGATAGATAAATAAATAAATTCGTCGCAGTTCAGTTCTGAGACCTGTGGATGTTCGCAGTCACAAAGGTAAGATTTTGGAACGATTTTCTTTAAAATGGTTTTAATTCATTCATCACGAGGGAAACAACCCCAGGCAGTTTTAGCCCTTTGTAGTAATTTTTTAAATTTGTAGTAAAACATGCTCCAACAACAAAAACCTTCTTCCGGTAGTCTCCTAAAACATAAATCACTTGGACTTTAAATCGGTTAAATAATGTCATATCTTAAAATAGAAAATTACAAAAAATAAGGTAAAATTATTCCTGATATCGTAATTAATCTTGTTGGAAATTCCTGAACTCTCATAAAAACATGTATTTATCTTACTGTGTTTATCAACGCTGCGTCAACAAAATGGTGAAATAATTCCAAGTTTCTTGCTTTGTACCTGTTATCTTTGTCAAGTATCACGATTATTTTAAATCTCCTATGATAAATGTGTTATATTGATTAGTGATTTCTTTTATTAAATAACATAATAATCAGAGGCGGCAGGCTCGGGCACGCCGTACCAGTCATTTTAAAATACTTAGTAAGCGTTGAAATTAGAAATTAAAAAAAGAGATAAAGTTTGAATGTACGTTTAGTATACAACATATACCGCGTGTCTGGAAACTGGTGGATTAACTCTTCAGTACGTTATAGTCGGAGGTTTCGGGAGTTCCGAAAAAATAATAAAACAATTCTTTATGATGTAGATTACGAAGAAAACATAATTTTATAAAAGTAAAATTGGCAACACTGCACACCTAATGCATGAATACCTCCGGCTTACTTTCTGGTTTCTTAGCAACGATGGTGGCTGAAATCCACTTCGCTTTATATCAGGCAAACATTGTTGTCAAATGGAATTTCATCAAATAATTACAAAAACGACACAACCATATCTTTGTACATTCTAACTGAAATGGTAATTAAACATGGTCATGGGCGAGAGAAATATTAACAAAAAGTTTTATTACTAGTTATTGTGATAACGAATGTGTTGTTTAGTTGTTAACTGTAGAAAAAGAACCAATTTTAAAATTATTATAACTCCACCAAAATGTGAGAAGGAATTTTTTTACCATTTTTCCCAGACTCACCAGTTGATTGTTAAGAGCGTAGCGGAGAGTTAATCCGCCATTTTCCAGACACCTGGTATATTAAAAAATATATTTTAATATATTATAGGTACAAAATAAATCATTTGTTGGAAATTTTAAATGCTGATAAACACGCTTTGTCGGCGAGATTTCGGCACGCCGTATCCAGGAATGCATAATGCTCCGATGTTTCGACTTCGTAGCAGCTTACGGTTTCATTGTTCTCTTTGTCCGCTACACTGTTTACGAGCGGAACGTATGTTGCGCCAGGTAAGGCGAGATCCTCCTTCGCCGTACCCAGAAAAGCGAATTTAGTTTTTAAAACGCTTAATAATTAAGATAGCTAACAAAATTACAAAACAATAACGGCTTGGATGTTCTGCAGTGCTTACTATATATTTTTTTTTAATAATAATTCTTGATTTAATAGATTTTCCTGTGTATGAATAATAAACGAAAAAAATTACATTAAATTAACTAAAATTGTATTGTTCGTACATAACTTTGCTACAACATAAATGTGTTTTTTCTGTATTTTTAGCATCTAAGCGTTTTCAGATATTTCAGAAATGAATTTAATGTTTTAAATCATTTTAATTTTAATTCAATAATTATTCAATTAATTTATTTGACAATTTGCCACATACATTAAAAAAAAATTAAATGTAAATGAGAATAGTTAACAGTCTGTTGGTACTTTTATTATTACTTTTTTATGTTTTTTAACTGCATGTCATTACTTAATTATTATTATTTAATTGTGGATGTTCGGGGTCGGCAAGCCGTATAGCCGTCGGTCGACGCGGAACCCAGTAATAGTTATTTACGTGGCAAGCTTAGTAAATTAGCCTTTACGGGCGAGCCGGAATGTTTGCAGGGCGAGCGACGTAGGAGCGAGTCCTGTAATCCGGTGAGCCCCAGTAAAGGCTAGTTGCAAGCGAGCCGCGTACAACGTTTTACTTCCTCTTGCTGAAAATCCTGAAAATGAACAACTTTGGGATCTCTAGAAATTTTACTTGAAATTACAGTCATAGAAATTATAGTCATTTTCCATAGTTTGCTCCGGTAACTATGGAAAATTGAATTGTTTGAAAATAACGCGACTGTCAATTTGTAAATTCGATTAATAATTTAAATGGTTTAATTTTGTTTCTGAGCTCTGTTAATTGTGGAATTCGATGAAGATGAAGAGTTTGAAGGTGATTTTAACGTTAGTATTAGCACAGTATTAGTGAGATTAAGAAAAAGGCCGACGCAGCAAATGTGTGTTTGATTCCGGTGCTGTCATGATAACGTTTTACAGGCAAGGTGCCTGTAAAGCTGCCACGGTAACGCTTTACAGGCAGGGTGCGTGTAAAGGCTAATTTACCGAGTTAGTTCAGACTACAGTAAACGAGCTTTAACAAGACAAGAGGAAGTAAAAATAATTTTTTCGGTGGTTCTCAATTAATGATAATCCTATAAAAAAATTATTTTAACAAGTCGAGGTCGAAATATTCGAGATGTTTTTGTATATCCTGGCACGTAAAATGTCAGTGGTTAACGAGTAGCGGCCATACATTACGAAAATATATAACACAAAGGTGTAGACTCAAAATATTTGGCCGACCCGAAATTTTGACCCACCAGCCGTCACTGATAATGTGATAATTATGTATTTGTCGTTTATGAATGCGCCTTGATTTGCTACCCTAGACCAACGTTCAGTTCGTGGAGCGTCGTACGTCTTTTTCTAAACTCGATTTGTGTGGTTCTGTATTAATTTAAAAATTAAAAATTACGTGTACGCTTAGCGTTCGTTCACCCATCCTTACATTAAACTGAGAATATAACACACCTTCCTGGTTTTCAGAATCTGGCTCAAAATGTCAGGACGAATCGCTAAGCTTTATAAAGACAGTAAATCGAGCGACTGCGACATAAACCTGCTCCTGTTTGGCGGAACCGGAGTGGGCAAATCCACATTTATCAATTCAATATCAAACTATTTCAAATATCGGGACTTCCAATCGGCCAAAAAAGGAACAGTTCAGGTCCTTATCCCAGTCAGTTTAAACTTGTCGAACTCGAACGTCGTCTATGGCGCTTCGGATAAAAACAAAAGCCACGATCATGACAAATTGGCGACTCAGCATGCGAAAGTGTACTTATTCCCCATTAAAGTGGACGACAAAGTGTACCATTTGCGTATAGTGGATTCGCCGGGAGTGGGAGATCCCAGAGGAATCGACTACGACAACATCTACATAGACAACATTTTAGCCTACTTGGCCACGCTGAAAAAGTTGCACGGAATTTGCTTCATCCTGAAGTCCAACGAGACGAGGTTCACGAGGTTCGTGGAGTACTGCTTGAAGCAGGTGCTGACCCGGCTGGATAAGAGTGCTAGTAATAACATTATTTTTATTACTACGTACAGCAAATCTACTCAGTATATTCCAACGGACACGAAAATCAACTGCTTGGAACCTCTGGTTAACAACATCAAGTCCAAACCTCCTCATGTAGACATCCCCTTAACCGACAAAAACGTATTTGCTCTGGATAACGAGTCATTTAAAGCACTCTTGGAGATGCAAGAAGGGAAAAAATTCAGTAAACACGAAGTGGCCGGCTTTTCCGAAAGCTGGAAAGTTTCGTCGAAAGCATGCAGACGGTAAATATAACAATTCCAAACTTAATCTCATACAAAATCGTTACCGCAGACTAAAAATTAACTCGTTTTTAGCTTACTAAAGTACATAATCGGTGATGAAAATACCTCCCCTTTACAACCTCATGCAGTCGAAAGTACCATCAAAAAGAATTTCAACTGCGTGGTGTTTCAACAGGCCGAGTCCCATAGAGGCGAATACAATTCACAGTATGAACTGGATGGACCTGGTGGCTGTCAGCGAAGAAAAAACCGAAGTCCGTCACGACGTGAATACAGTCGTTACGAAAGAGAACGCCAATACAGAGCGGCTAGCTCTACATCTAAAAGTGAACACTCTTCTGGCTCAGATGACGAAACCTATTGTAGATCGCCAGTGAGTGAGTACTACGCGACCAAGTCCACTAAAAGTAGAAGCTCCTCCGACTCAGTCAACAGCGGAATCCGCACCTACGTGTCAAGTTCTAGGCCAGTCAAATCCACTAAATCTACAAGGAGCGGCAGACGGAGTTCAGAGGACGACGCTTCCAGATACAGATCTAGTTCTAGATCATTAAGAGTTTCCAGAAATAAACGTCCTACTTCAGATGAAAGAACGTCCGTGAAGTACCAGTGAGTCATTCACTCACTCAATCACTCACTCACCCAGTCACTCACTCACCCATTCACCGACTCACCAACTGACCGACTGACCGACTGACCGACTGACTGACTGACCGACGACTGACTGACTGACTGATTGACTGACTGACTTACACATGAATGTATGTATTACCATAAAGTAAAGTAGTACTTTCGTGTCCACTATTTCCAGCACTTCCCCAAAACCTGTCAAAACGATATTCAACCGCATTCTTATGGTGTTCAAAGACCCCCAAGCCACCCGTAGCGACATAAATCTCCTGCTTTTTGGTGAAACCGGCGTAGGAAAGTCCACTTTCATAAATTCCCTTGCCAATTACTTCAACTATTCCAACTTCGAGGAAGCCCAACACAGCAAAATCGAAGTTCTGATCTCTGTCAGCTTGAACCTTTCGGACCGAACCAAAATCTGTGGAACCGCGGACAAAAACGAACGCCACGTAAGCGGAAAATCCGCCACCCAACACGTCAAAGTGTACCTATTCCCCATCAAAATGGGCCGGAAAACTTTCAATTTAAGATTGGTTGATACTCCAGGGGTCGGAGACCCCAGAGGAATGGACCAAGATAACACTAACCTCGATAACATTCTAGCGTACTTGGCGACGTTGAAGAAACTTCACGCTATTTGCTTCATCATGAAGTCCAACCAGACCAGATTCACCAAATTCGTGGAGTACTGTTTGAAGCAGATGTTGGTTCGGTTGGACAAAAGCGCTAGCCAAAACATTATATTCATCACCACGAGCAGTAAGATTACACAGTATAAAGCTGGAGATGCCAGGATTCACTGTTTGGAACCGCTAGTCCGCGATATCCAGTCGAAACCTCCCAATGTGAGTATCCCCTTGGGCGACAAAAACATCTTCGCTTTGGACAATGAGGCCTTCAAAGCACTCTTGGAGATGCGAGAAGGTAAAACCTTCAGCAAGCACGAATTGGAAAGTCTGGCTAACAGCTGGGACATCTCGTCGAAAGAAATTCGTCGGTAAATAGGCAACGTTCCTTTTAGCAGCAGTCAAAGTTTTGTGTTGTAGCTTGTTGGCGTACATTATCGGGGACGGCAAAACCTCAGCACTGAAGCCCCACGAGGTCGAAAACACCATCAGTGTTAACGAAGTGAGGTTTATGATTGAGCAACTCGCGACTCCTATTGCTGAAGTGTCGGATCTCATTCAAGACAACCTCAGGGTGCTGGAGAGGCATAAGAGGAACCTGAGTTTGGAGAACCAAACCCTGGACGAGCTCAAGAAAAAGCTGTTCATACCTTGTGTCAACCTTAAAGTCAAGGAATTATCGCAACCTGTCACCGTATGCACGGAGTCCAAGTGCACTGAAATCATAAAGGTGAAGTTACGAGTGTGATGACTTTTTCACGTTGTTGATATTTAAGGTGAATCACGTGACCCAGTGGCACTACAAACAGAGATGCCACAACCCTTGCCACCTCCCGGGAATCCCCAAAGAGAGGATCGGCGATCCGGGAATTATTAATTGTGCCGCCATGTCGGGCAAAGACAATTGCCAACGCTGCGGGTGCCACTGGAAAGTCCACATGCACATCTACAAAGAAACCGAGAAAATGTACGTCCAGACAGAAGACCAGAACGTGAAAATCGCCATAAACACCAAACGCGACGGGCAACGCAGCATCAAAAAGTTCATGCAAACGGTCAACCAGAAAATGCGAGAACTGAAGAAAGAAGGTAAAATCATCTCCGAAAACATGGCTAAGATTTCGTATTTCCTGCAAGAACACGCCTTGACGCCCTACAATGACGCCTACAGTGACTACATCAAACAAATTATCAAAAAGTAAGACGAATTGTGGTGTTGGCCATTATTAACTATGTGTTTTCAGCGAAGAATTCTTGGGAAAATTTGGGGACAAGAAAGTCATCGTCAAGCTGGAGAAGCTCTTGAGCAGGCACGAACACCTCCAAAAGACATTTCAAGAAAACGCCCAAAAGTTCAAAGACGCGTCTACACACTTCGACCTGAACCTTGAAGGGATCAAGAAGAGCATCACCGAGCTGTACCGACTGAAGCACATGGGTAAGACAATCCAAGAGCTGATCAAAAAGTCGACGGCTTCTCGACAGAGGGAAACGCAGAAGAATTTTGAATGCGTGATGTCTAAAGGATTCGTTCTGGAGGATGGCAAGAAGAAAGTCCAAGAAAGGAAGCAACGCAAGGTCGTCGACGAAAACGAGGTAGAAGACGATGTTGACGCCAATTTTACCCCAAAATGCGAAGTCCGTTGCGAATACAGAGCAAACGGAGCTGGTTTAGACGACTATGATTCTCGAGAAAGCTCATCTTGCAATGACAGAGAAGACAAAACGTCAAAGCATGGCTCCAAAGACGAACAAACTAACAACAGAAATGAAAGTGATGATAGCTCTGAGAGATATTTTAGCTGCAATTCGTCGAGCGATTCTCAAGATGGCCCAAATGGAGTCAAAGGGAAACGCCCTGTCGAAGAATAAGATAATAATTGTCTATGTTTTGATTAAGTATCCATTCCACTTGCATATTATTATCAATTTATATTTTTTTAATGTATATTGTAGTTATAACTTTGTATTACAATTCCAATAAATAGTCTTCAGAAGCAAAGTGTTTCCGTTATCAATAATAATTATAAAAAGAAAAGTCCTGAGTCACTCACTGGCAGACTCATCAATCTTAAAGTTTGCTCCGTCCTACGTTTGAAATTTAATATTTAGGCCTCTGGTTAGAAACTAACATATACCTTGTAAGGATCTAATTCGAATTTTTAAATTTCAAATGAATTTCGCGCGCACAAGAAACGGTTGGTAAGAAGGAGTAGAGGTTGGCAACCAACCACCCCAAAAAGGAGAGACATGCGCAAAAGCGTGGGTAGTATTGTCTTGTAAAATGATTCACTTCCTTTTGACCGCTTCGAGAGATCACACCACTTCCTTTCGAGCGCTTCGAGCAACAGGTTGTATTTTTAACTGTGAGTTATTCTGTGCCTTTGCTGTTGTTTTTTTATTTTCCAGTGTTGATCCGTTCCATTGGAAAACCTAGCAGCCCTCGTTGAGCCATTGGGTGTTCCTGATTTCGCATCGTTCTTACGACGAGGTTTTCGTGTTCCTTTTGGCGGTAAGCCGTGTCGAAATCTTCGCATCTTTGGAGAGGTAGGTTTTGACCACATGTTTTGGACTGGGTCCTGTTTCGCGGCGAGTTTCAAGTCCCGACGATGCTTCTGACCTCGTGACTCATCGACGCGTGCGCTTTTTTTTCCACTAATCTCGTTTTTTTATCTTTCATTTAAAATCCGTCGCAGTAGGGCTTTACAGGAAGTGATTTTTAGTTCGGGCCATGCTTTATTTAGCTATATTTGTGAAATCTGTATTTTGGATGGCGGCAAACGAGTTGTTATTTTCACCGTTCTTTGTTCAGGCAGCAGCCATTTTGAGGCGTCCATTTTGTTTCTTTTAACCGAGCACATGTTTTAACTGTTGAATCTATTGAACAAATTAACAAACATTGTGGGTCATGGGGGGACGTGCCTTTTATTCCTTTGATTTAGCCCATCGTTTATACAACGCCACAGGATTCATCGCATATTTGCATCGCATATTCTCGACGCCTATTATTTGGAATGACGAATTCGTCCAACGCCATTTTGCACCTGCAGATTGTCTGCCATGTTTTTGTTTATGTGTTTTGTTTGGGGATATGTATGTGTAATAATGGCCCACAATGTAGCTGAATAATTTCACGTTTTGAATTTTAACCAATAACTTGACTGGACACGAGTTATTGCTAATCTCATGTAAATCTGTTAACTCTGCAATGTTTCACCTCATGCAATTTTTCTTTATCTCACAATTCTAACTTCAGTAATTTTCCTTGTTGTATAATTTGAATTGAATGTACATTTCCATGTTCTGCAGTCTTGACCTAACATGATATTTTATTTGCACAAGTTTATTTCACACCAGATCTTTGTTTTATAATTCTTTGCTAGTTTTGATCTTGTAAATGTTTTGTTGATGAATGTTTCTATCATGTAAATATCTGATGTCCAAATTTAATCTCAATTAAGAATTATTTGTTGTTGAATTTTCGAATGTTGTGTATTGCTCTTTGTTGAAACTTTAACACTTGTTCGGTTGTCATTTAATATTAGAGTCATAGAGATTGAACATTTAAATGAAATTGAAGGTAAATAACACATAACTCGTAGTGTACGTGGGGCGCGCGACTCCTTCTCAAACTGACGGGATTAATCGCGTCACCTGCACAAGTCCGCGGGTTTTGTATGGCTTCAGGGAGCGATCGCGGGTTTTTAACGCTGTCGATTTGGCCCAATAGTCGAGACCCAGGGTGCGATTTTGTTTCTCGATCGAAGCGATAAAATAAATGTCATTACGTAGGTTTTAAATGCAAAAGTTTGCATTTATTCTTTGCATATAAGCTTATTAAATGCTCAAAAGTTTACAATTACCTTAATTTTAAGAACTTATAACTCAGAATTACGATTTTGAACTTCTATTTTGACATAAATTTCGAGGTTATGTCTCCAAAATTTATCACTTTACTCAGAGCTATCGATAAAAGATCGCTGCGTGAAGACTTGATTTCGTGACAGAATCGAGAAATGTGACAGAAATGTAGCATCTCAACCAATCAGCAAACGAGATTTTATCGCTAACGGGTTTTTTCGATCGAGAAACAAAATCGCACCCCCAACTACGGATCTGCGATCGTAACGGCCTCGTTTCGCAGGGCACGTTCGTAATGGAGATGTGCGTGTGAGCAGGCTTTGGTGTAGATAGAATCACCGTCGTGAGGGAGAACAGTGACGATCAGGAGTCCCAACCTCTACTTGCGTTACAACGCCCCCTCTGGGTATTTTGCTGTGCTCATAAATGAAATTGCTATATTTTGTTATATATTTTGTTCGATCGCCACACTCTCATAATGATTCGGGTTCTGCTATCCAATTTACATATGTGTAGGTCTTGTGTTTGTTCGATTTGCATATCTGTATGTCTGTCAATTCGCAAGTGTTTTTCGTTCATATATCTTAAGGTGTTTGACATGTAATATGTCGGTGAATAAAACCCCAGGGGGTTTTGGGGAGCGAAGACCGATGACACTTTGGCCCTGCGGACTCGCCAGAAGGGCAAATTGAGCCTCCGTCGTTCTTCGTTTCTTTTTCCCCCTTAGGAAGGCTTTTGACCTACCTAATTTTGTCTATTATTTCTTGCGCTCTCGACCGTGTATGCACTTGTATGAAAGAACGTCTTCCCGCAATTTTTTAAAAACAAAAAAAAAACACACAACGTAGGTTCTCATTTGTTAGACGATCACAGCCAAGGCCAAACTTTGAATTTTTGAATTTTTCTCGGGCCTTTCAAACCTTTTCAAGGTCAATTTAGAGGCGGGAAGTTTGGGTTATCACAACCTGTACCTGCATTTTCGAAAATGGACCCTTAAGGAGATAAAATACGGGATGAGAGCAGTGGCGGCTCGTCAGGGGAGGCAGGGGGGCAGTGCCTCCCCTGGGGAAATTAAAAATTAGTTTTTGTTTTAATATATTTCAACTTTAAATATATTTGAAACAAACAACGCATAATATTTTATAAAACATTAACATTTATTGAAACAAATGAGCTCCGCGCCTTGCAAACAAGTTTTGAAATACGCGCTTTCGATACGTTATACACGCAGCCTACTGTGTGCCACTGTGTGGGCAACTTCGGTTGGAGTAATGCCTCAGATGGCGGGATGTTTTCAGCACGGTTAGTCAATATTGCAAATTTGTAACGATATACTTTTGAGAAAGACAGTAGTCAGTAACGCTTTATAAAAGCGTACGTGGAGGCACCAACGCCTACCAGCTTTAAGCCAATCAATTCCATTTTTTACTTCCCGAGCGTAGGCAAAGGAAGTATTGTAATCGAGTCCGTCGGCCGACTCTCTACTTTTACGTTTTCTCGATCTTTCATGACCCCTAGAGACGAAGAAATAGGGCTCCCATTTCCGTCTGTCTGTCCGTCTGTCTGCCGTCCCGGATTTTTATTAGACAGATAATCTCCGAAAGTACTGGACCAATTGTTGTGAAATTTTATATTAGGAATATCATGTAGATGGTAAAACGCTAATCAAAATTTGTCTAATCATCCCCACCACTAATGCGATGACGTCACTTCAAAATTGTACATAGTAAATGGGTCTTAAATTGTATAAAATAACATAGTCCTACACATGTAGTTTACGACTCCGAATTCAGTTTTTACCCGAAACGTCCAGATTTTTGGAAAAAAAATCAAAATTATAAAACAACATTTTGCAATTTAATTTTAATCTGCTAACCCGAATGTTTTGAAATGTTGCAGATGTTTAAAGGCTATAAAGAGCATCATAAATCTTTAGTCAAAATATATTTGGTTATCCCCTCCAAAAACTTGATGACGTCAGCTCAAAAGTTTGCCGAATACATCCTATCTAAAATGTACAAAATATGATGCCTCTGTACTGGTGATATATCACCCCATTCATATTTTTTGGATTTGCATATACAGGGTGACCCAAAAAAATTAATGAATGCGCAAAATTTATTTTACTGATTTACTCAGGAACTACAAAACCGAATGCTTTGAAATCTTGAAGATGTTTTAAAATTATCATAAGCTTGGTAAATTTTTGATCAAAATGTATTTGGTCGTCCCTCCTAAAAAATTTATGACGTCACCACAAAATTTTGCTGAATAAATCCTATCTAAAATGTACAAAGTATCGTGAGTCTCTTCTTGTGATTTATTATTACATTCAAATTTTTTCGATTTGCATATACAGCGTGACTGAAAAAAATTAATGAATGCGTCAATTTATTTTATTGATTTAATTAGGAATTACAGAACCGAATGCTTTGAAATCTTGGAGATGTTTTAAAGTTATCATAAGCATGGTAAATTTTTTTATCAAAATGTATTTGCTCTTCCCCCCTAAAAAATTGATGACGTCACTCCAAAATTTTGCTGAATAAATCCTATCTAAAATGTACAAAATTTGATGAGTCTGTACTTGTGATTTATCATTCCAATCATATCTGATTACAGTAAAACCACATTTACTGAGCAATTCTATAGCATCCAAAGTCAGCTTATGAAGATCTTGACTGTTTAATTGGCGATGGAAGTGGTAGCTTACAGGGATGATATACTTTGTGGATAAGCCGTGAACCACAAAACAAAGTAGCTGATTGGCAATTTCTGGGGTGCTTCCTACAAACTCCTCTTTGTAATCTAATCCAAAGACTTTGTCCTGAAATTTTGAGAAACTAACTCTTTCCTTTACTGCCATGTCATCAACAATTAAAGAACACAATCTTTCACATGGCTGTAAATTTTCGCTTTCACTTAAAAGTCTATTTTCAATTAAATGTTCATTACCAGTAGAAACATATTTATTTAATGTCGTCTTGCACGGCAATTTTAGAAACGAACGACGTGGATATTCGTATGCTTTTGGGGAGCAGAATCTCCACATAAGACATTGCCGCAAAGTCATCTCAGACCATTTGGGTTTACGTTTTTTATAATTTTGTATTTGATCTAGAATAAAAATGGCATAACTAT